TTCAGTTTATGGTGTTGAGCCTCAGGTGCTTGAATAGAAGAACATTATGGGTAGCAGGAATATGTGGTAGAAGAGGCTTTTCACCTCACAGAGAACAGGAAGATTAGAACAGTAACAAGAAGTGGGTAGGGCAAGTTATAGCTTCTCTGAGGTAAATGTGTACACACACATAGACATCTGAAAGTTTGCAATGTAGTACTAAAGACAATAATAGTATAAAATAGTGCAAAGACAGTGATCTACTTCCTTCTTCCAGGCACAGATTTACACAGTTCCACCACCTCCCAGTAATGTATTCAAATGTCAATTAATAATCTATTTCCTCTAGAAATGCATGTACAATCACACCAGAGGTATGCGTCACTTATTTCATAATCATTCTTAAATCCATTCAAGTTGTCAATCAAGATTAACATCACAGTGTAACTTGAAGACAATGTCAAAAGAAAGAAACCACTAGTGGAAAAAAAGAGTAACAGAAATGTCTCTTTCTGTAGGTCCTAGAAAAGTAAAAGGAATCTAAGAATGATAGAGAGGCATTGCATGGGTATAAAGTGATATAACAAAATATGTCCATATCTACTGTTTTTAATAGAAATCATAAAATAAGATTCTTGGCATAGCACTGTGAACTATTAAAACTTCAGTAGCTACTTCATTATTAAATAGGAAAATTGTTAAACGCTGGGTCAATTTAAAAGTTCTAGTGGTCCAGGGTTGTAATGATGCAAACTTCCCCTTAGAAGAGGCTCGGTCAGCTATAAACATAGTTCACCTGGCAAAATCCCCCTTCAGAGGGGTCATCCTAATTTAGGAATGGGGTCTGCCTCAGTTTTATGGCTTCAGAAAAAAGTATTATTTGCAGTGGTATCATTGTTTATAGAGATGATGATCCCTTGATAGTACCACACAGACATCAATGGGGATGTTCTGACACTCGACTTAAGTCTCTGACTTTCTACATCAGATGACCTAAGGACTTGAAGATGTTTTCAGACGGTTGCCAAGAAACACAGAATGCGAACAAAGGAGGAGAGAGCAGCAGCTTAAACACATGAGCAGAGCAAATATCACAAGGCACAGAACAATGTGGTTCTGGTGTTAAAAGCCACATCCTCAGCAGTTTAGCTCACTTTCATTTGTAAACATGCATCTTAGCAAAACTGTTCACTTGACTGCTGCAATTGAAAACCTGTTGTTTGCAACTGTATCTGGTAACAACACAAAACCTTCATATAAAAAAACACAGGTTGTGAGGTTATAGGTTCATGTTTCTGTTATATTTGTGAGAATTCACCAAAAGTTGTATTCTCTCCTGCCCTGTCTGTCTCTTCCAACCTAGGCTGACAAACTGGTTCTCTCTGGGAAGTCCACAGCCATCCATTCTTCTCAGCTGTATCTCAGCACAGATGATTCTGCTGAGCAGTCTGAGTGCTGGTAGCCTGGCTGCCATCCAACACAGACAAATTGCTGATCTTTTCTGCCATGCAATGTTAAATAGGGCTTCTTGGGGACATTGAACAAATAGCTCCAAAGCACATTTAACTTAAATTTAAAGCTATATGTAACTTTGTAAATCACTAAAGACAAGACCATCTTAGCTGTAGATGACCAACATGCTCAAATGAAATTTATAGATCATTGTTCTTTCAGACCACGGGGCTAACAACATAATTAGAATAATTAATAAGTCACCATATATAAACCCAGATGTGAAATACATAACAGTCTTCTGATTGTGTTAATATATCTTTCAGCTCACTCTGAGCCTCTCATACTGACTGCTTCCTAGTGCCTAGAACACAGTGATAACATGGAATACTCAGGCAATTAACTCCACCCCATGGAAGAAGTCTTCTTTACCAATATGGAGCTGGAACAAAACAGCCTGTTCAGTGTAGGAAGTCAATTGGAGTTTTATGCTCTAGACTGACGAATGACCAGATCTCATGGAAATGGAGTAAAGAATGGTATCAGTTCCAGAAACAACACGATATCCTGATGTGAACTCATAGGGGTTTAAGCCTCAATAAGATAAAAATTATCATATTAATCCTTGCATCTCTCATGTAAGCAGAGTGGTTGATATTTCACAGAATGGAGCATGATTAATTGAGAATTTGCTGAAAGAATGAATCTCTGTACATCAAGTATGGAAGAGAGACCATGTATAGAAATGAACTCTTGATCCTAGTGGTGAGAATGAGTATGAGATTCTAAGCCACGTATGGAATATGCTTAAAAACGTGCATGGATCATACTCACATTGATACACAAAAGTTTGCAGGGTAGTAGTAAATGTGTCAATAGTAGAACACAATGCAAAGATAATCACTAGGGTCCTCTCACAACCTGGAAGTCAGGTTGGAATTTGGAAGTTGATAGCTCAGTTGCTTCAGTTTTTCTACCAGCATTCTCCAAGGATTTCTAGATTGTTATTCTTAGGAATTCTGTGACATTGACTTTGGAAATTTACTCTGCCATTGATGGCAGTGATATCACATTAACTGAATTCTAACATAAGAAATAAAACCTGTTATTGCCTTACTCTCAGGGAGTCTGGGAAAGGTTCAGCATGGTCTGTTGGGATGTTCCTTATGTAGTGGATTTATTTTTATATACCATATCTCAAACATGCTCAGGTGGAGTTCTTCTTGGAAGGCTATCAACCTTTTTCTTTCTCATTTCTCCTTTAAGAGAAATAGTCAACAATACATTTCTATGACAGGGTTTCACTAACCCTAGCCTGGCTGGAACTCACTATGTAGACCAGGCTGACCCAGATCTCACAGAGATCAGCCTGCCTCTGCTTCCCAAGGGCTGGGATTAAAGGTATGTACCACAACACCTGGCATTTTTAGGGAATATTTTTGAAAAGGCAATAATTTTAACTGAGAATTTATCCATCAATTTTTACAATAGGCTGGGAGGTTTTGTAGCTTTCTGATAAAGATAATCCTCATGTTTGGTAGCTATTTTGTTTTCACAAAAGTTTACATAAAAAATGGATTCAGAAAGAGACTTTCTATGATTCTAACTGGTACTGAAAATAAATCTTTGCTCCTAATTTATATAGAAACCATCAATGCTCAGAGCTTCTATGGGATTTGAGTATAAACAAAATACATAGAATTAAGAAGTAGGCAAAGCAAATATCCAAATATAAGAAAAGTGACACTATGGCTATAAATATTATCCTTGAAAGCATCTTTAGAATGTTGCAGACTTGTGGATAATATACTGAAAGAAAGGAATCTTCTAAATCTGTATATATGTGAAAACATTTTTCTCTGATTATCATTATCCCTATACACTTCCACCATTTATTCAATAAAAATGTATTTATAAAACATATTTTAAAGGGTAAGTGCTTTGCCATATATTAGGACATAACTCTCTACATATCAGGAGACTGTCATCTCTATATCACCTGTAGAGTGAGCCTTAGCAGAGGCAGTTCTTTACTGGTGCCAGTTAAGTGTGTGGAACAACTCACTATTCTCAGGTGTCTTTTCCTTTCACTTGTCATATTGCAGGTGATTTTTTTTAATTTTTACAATTTCTGTAGAAATTTAAATGATAGGGGCTAGGGAGATGACTCAGCAGTTAAGAGCAGTGGCTACTCTTGCAGAGGACCCAGACTCAGTTCCCGGCACCCACATGATAGCTAACAACCATCAGTAACCTCAGTTCCAGGGATTCCAACCCCCTCTTCTGACCTCTGTCAGAGGCATTGCACAACATAGGTGAGCTTAATACCTGCAGGAAATACATTCATACACATAAAAATAAAAATAATAAATAAGGTATTTTTGTAAAGAAATTTAAATATTAAAATATGCATCATTCGCTCATTTGTTCATCCGACCTAACTATTTTAACTCTTCATTCCAGCAGGATAGGGAAGGGACAGTCCTTTTCTTTCAATGGACTCATAGTAAAGATGTAAATCTTCTATTGCAATAATGTAAAGCTATTACAATATTAAGTATAGGAGCCACCATAATGATAAGGGAAGAGTGGAAACACATACACATGAGTATGATGCCCTCTGACTAAAGCCTTACAGGTTAAATATTAAAATGGGTTGAAATTCTGCTTCATGTGTATAGGAGTTTTGAACTGAAGTCACAGTAGATGGACCATTACACTCAGGGATATAGATCATATGAGTGATGCTGAGGGACTATAGACCTCTACTGTTAGACACAGAGCATCAGGGAGTAGACCCAGGCCACTCTTTAAGAGTGAGAAGATAGAACACAGACTGAGAACTGGAACAAGATGATAGAAGTAGGCCACTAATTAGTAGCACCACTATTGTAGAAGAAACATTGCAATCTGCATTGGTATTTATTTTCTCTGGAACTTAACAAACACCTCTGGGGTATTATAATGAATTGTTGCATGCCCTATATGGAGCTTGCAGCTGTGTTAGCAACAAAAAACCAAGACATAGAAATAAGAAAAGAAAAGCGAGCGCACACCGTAGAGAAGTATGCCACTGCAGGGTCTCTAACTAACTGACCAAAAGGCATTGAATGTTGGGGTTGTAAGTGTTTTTCCATGATTCAACAGGGTCAGTCTTGTTCTGTTGAATTTTTCCTTTTCCTGGCTTCAGCAGGAGAAGATGCAAATGAATAACTTTCCTAAGTATGATCAATAAAATTAAGGAAATGATTGACTTTGTTTTATCGTCTAAGTTTGTATTCTTAAGCAAGTGACTTTAGGGCTCAGAAAGGAATGTGAGTAAAGGTGCAGCACTGTCTAACAAACTGTTCCTATTCATCTTCAGAACCTGTCTTTGGATATTTAAAGGTTTGTAAAGACTGTGATCTTGTAGGCACTTCCTGTAAGTCTTGTATGTATTATAAATAAAGTTCTGTGACTGGAAACTTCCATCACTGTATGTATGGCTCTTGCTTGGAAAGCTTGGGCTCATTCATACTAAAAATGCATAGGAGTTTGTCACAGTTCTAACATATGCATTCTTCTTGCAGATGGTTGAAAAAGAAGGTTATCTTCAAAGAGCTAAAATTGCAGATGGAGGAAAGAAACTAAGGTAAGGAAAGTTCTTCAGCTCTGTTACATAACTCTGCTAGTTTCCCACATCCTTAACTTGTTTCGCTGCTATTGTTTAAGAAGGAAGGGCCTCAGGAAACTTAATTAGAAGAGTCTCTTCAATTGCCATTATTGACATGGATATTGTTAATGTAGTTTTAGTTTTCAAAGAACGACATTATAATCTATAGTGTTGCCCAGAATGCAAAAGTGGCTGATGTCTTGTCTATTTAGGACTAGAAATCTTTAAAGCATAAAAAGGGAAAATTATTTCTGGATTAACAGATTGGGGTTGTATGAATGAATTCATTTGCAATATGAAAAGATTTCTATGCAATACATTGAGAAATTGTTTGAAGGATAGAAGACTTGAACTCCATTTATAGCTCAAAATAAAAATCATTTGGGAAAAATAAAAGACAAACAAAGTCATGAACAAAATAAGTGAAGGAAATGTAAAAGTGAAAAACTCCCTGTGGTGGAAGGGACAGGGAGGCGACAAAAATATTCAAGAAAAAAGAAAATTTTGATTGGTGGGTCAAGAAAGATGCTAGCTATGTTGTTTATGCAGGATATTTAAAAGCAGTCATCTCTATTTTAGAATTTTTGGTATTTCCTATATCACTTGTATTATATATTTAGCTTTGTGGTAGGGAATATGGAAGCTTATAAAGGTACATGAAAATACTGAAACTGAGAGACATTTACTTGTGAGTATATAACTAACTGTTAAAACTATGTAGGAAAAATATAGCAGTTAGCTACACAGTGAGGCACCTGCTAATTGAAATTATGCAGTTCATCACTAGAAAGTTGCACTAGCCAGCACCAGAGAATAAAATATGTTTTTGTTTGATGGCTGCCATGGACTGTTTTTATATTTATTTGAAGGAAGTAAAATGGGAGTGTCACTCATAATTCCACAACTTACAAAAGCTATTCTAATTTTAAATAGGAAATCTGTTTTCTGCCATGTGGCATCTTATTCTTGAAAGGCAAACAAGGCCTTGAACCTTCTCCTAGCCTGCTTCTTGGCAGTGGCCTCATAGCCATGTTTCTGGAAAGTGCAGGAGGCACAAGATCAAATGCAAGGCAGCTTTAAGACTGGGCTGCTCCGTGCTCCAAAGAACCACAAGTCAGGCTCTAAAAGGGCACAGTTGGGCATCTTTGACTCACTAGCCCAGCCTGATGCTTTTCTTTCTTCACCCCACATCAGCTCAGACATGTGCGGGGTACAGCAACACCACTGCCAGAAGAAGTAAGCCAATACTGCTTTTTATCCTACCTACCACTTGAGTCCCCACGCCTTCACCCCATGCCTAGAAGACCACTCAACGTCAGTAGACCTAGTCTTCCCTGGGGTTGGGAGACCAGAGGTGATGATAGCACTGGTCAATGTTACCCTCTAGCCTCGTGCAAAAATGGGGAGGAGAGCCATGAAAACAAAGTTATGGCCTGTCATGGTGGTTTTGTGACGTACCCTTGCCTATTCTCCATATATTTACCAGTCTTGTAATATGTTCTCCTAGAACTGGGGTCTTGAGCACACAGAGGCACAGAGCAGGCCCTTTCCCTGCCAACTCTCATGAACACATTGTAGGCAGTTTCAGTGTGTATACAAGCACACATGTGTTCTATTTGCATATTAAAATTAATGAGTGCAGTGTCTGGATCGTAGTTTGGGTTCATGTAAGCGTTGGACTGAGCTCTAGTCTGTTTGGTTTTTCAATCAGTTTACATACCATTATGCATTCTTTCAGACTTTTTTCATTTAAAGGTACATAAATTTTAGTTTTCCTCTTTTAGAAATCCCAGGTGCAGTGAATTGAATTGATTACACCCTTCAGTTTACAGTTCTGTGTTATTACTATTTGGGGAAAGATCCTTAGCTGGTTTTATTTTATTCTGCCTCCCACTCTCATATCAATCTCCTCTGGATATATGCTCTAATTGTTCCTTAAACCCACTCTCTATACTTCTATTTAGTTCAAAACAAATAGACCAAACAACAAAAATAGCTGTATGTAATGGTGTGTGTATTCATGTGTTCTGTATTGCATAAGCAGCTCGTATCAAAAACTTCACGTTTCTTGCTAATTTCATTCAATATTAGAGCTTGAACATCTATTATGGTACTGTATTGTTTATTAATTGTACTTTATGTGTATGAGTGTAATGCCTGCATGTATGTAAGTGCACTCGTGTCGTCCAATGCCTGCAGAGGGTGTCAGATCCCCTGGAACAGGAGCTAAGGGCAGTTGTTAGCTGCCATGTAGGTACTGGGAACAGAACCCTGAGTCCTCTGCTAGAGCAGCAGTGCTGTTAACTGCTGAGCCATCTCTCCAGCCCCATACGGTGCTATGTTTAAAACTATTATTCCTTCCAGTTGTTCTCCATTTTCCATTATGTATCTGTACCAAATTTTATCAGCCCAAGTATCCAAGATAGAAACATTTAAGTTTTCACTATCTCTTTCCAACCATATAAATATTGTAAAAACATACACATTCTTGTGTCCTTTAAGCTTGTTAGAAATTCTCTCAGGAAACTGTACCCAAGAGCTAATACTGCTCTGACACATAAGTCCGCTGCATGGCACTGACATAACTTCTCCGGAATGTCCACACTAATTCGCACCAGTTTATTCTGCATTACAGAAGGAATCTCATTTCTCCATAGTCCAATCCAACACAATCCAATCCAACAGTCTATTGTTGATGTTGTCAAATGTGGGACCAAAAAATGTTCCCTCAGTGATGTTTCCCTCATTGGTATTGCAGTTGAGCCTAACTTCCATTACTTGCTTAGAGTCACTCAAATTCTACATCCTGAAAATCACTCATTCATGAGCTTCAATTATTATCTATTGGTCTTCTTGCTTTGATATGATTTGAGAGAATTCATAATATATTATAGATAGTGATTCTTTATGTCGGGTTTAGACATTGTAAATGTGTTTATTATAAATACTTTACGAATTGAATATATTGCATATAATAGCCACCATTTTAATAACACATGGTATCCCACCCTTCACGTGCACTGTAGCACATAGACATAATTTCTACTCTCAGTTTTTATTTGAGTCAAGTTTTATACTAAAAGGTTAAAATTGCAAAATACTTCCTAATCCCTGCTACTTTTTCCTTTGTATTTTCTATAGATAAATTCTATAGAAGCCGGGATTACCCTGTCAAATTGCAAGCCCTTTAAAAATGAACCTTAGGTGCTGGGAAGATGGTTCAGTGGGTAACAATGCTTCCTGTACAAGCATGAAGACCTGATTTCAGATCTCCAGATCTCACATGCAAATGTCTGGCATGGACTTGCATGCCTGGTGGTGCCACACGGATGGGCAGAGACAGGTGGATCCCAGGAGCATAGCTGAATGAGCAGACTTCCGTTTGTCAAGGGAATAAGGCAAAGCACGACAGATCAGCTCACCGCATGCTCTCCTCTGACCTCCCTACGCGTGCACATGGGAGAAGATACCTCCACACATGTGAACACATGCGTATACCACATTACACACTACACATGCACACACACAAAATCTCAAAACATAAATCACAGTGCATATTATTACTTACCCAAAGAGTCTATTTGCTTTTATCACTGTCAACAAAATAACCAGTTAAGTCATTACCTTGAAAAATTATGTACATTTTATCCCTTTGATAATTTAATGACTATTAAATAATATTCCCTATTTACTATAATTTTTACTACTTATATGAGATTTCCTATGAGCTGCTTCCCATTTTCAAGGATCTTATATTGTTTTTATAAATTGTAATGATTTATGTGCATATTAATCATATTAATCTATGCACAGATATTAATATCTATGCATAGATATTTCATCAGGTACTTGGCTAATTGTTATCCTAGTAATGCTTAAGTAATATTAAAATATATGCTTCCTTGTTATTTCCTGGTTTTCAAATGTGGAAACAGTTACTGCCTTAATCTCTCCTTTCTCTCAAGTCTTATGTCATAGAATTTAACCTCGTCCCATGTTTGAAACCTACTTGTTCTATCACTTGCTTTAAGCTGCTTGAGGCCAAGAAGCAAGGCTTGTTCTTTTGTTTCATGCCGCCTACAATTCTAAGGGCTTCAGCTGGCCTTAATAAATAATATCTTTAAATATCTAAAAAGTTTTCTATGCATAAAGGCATACTGGGTCAGCCACACCTTGCATTATTTCCTTCTTTTCATCTTGCCTTTCCTTGTCATCCTTTTTATTTGGCTTTATTTCTCTTTTATGTGTTTTCTCTTCCATAAGAAAAAAGCTGACTCCTATGTGAACAAGAGGTGACAGGAAAGAGAATCTGGCTACATCTTACATTCATAAAAGGCCCTAAAATTAGCCTTATTTGGAAATGAGGTTACACATGTCTCCCCTGTGATACACTGACAGGCTTGAAAGCAGAATTCATTCAGCATTCAACTTTAATTTTTAATTATGAACCTTGAAATTATGCCTCGGCTTTTGTGATGAAGCTTGGGAATCTTTTCATTTGGGGGATTTCATCCTCAAAACTGTAAGTAGTCCTGGCCTGCCTGAAGCTCCATGATGATTTCATAATAGTTTTTATTAGAGCTTAAATTTGCAAAAATAAAAAAAAACACGCTTTCATGCTACTCCGGTACCGCACAGTCTCTGTTTAGACATTTCTCCTTTGTTGGTTCCTTTGTGGCTCTGCACATCACATATTCTCAGTCTGTCCCTCCTTTCAGAAGGGCATGGAAATACTGGGGTGAATATGGACAGAAGAAGAGTGTGAGGACAGATTTGATACGCTTGCAGTGGTCATGTCTACTGTTGCCTGCCTTCATCCGAGGCCCATTGCTTTTAGACCTTTGGTTATGTGTGTGTGCATGTGCGAGTGTATGTTAATCATTGTTATCGGGACGGGCTTTTCTTTAGGTTATGTTACTAGGTACGCTCCTAGTATGAACTTATGTTTCCTTTAGTACTCTTTTGCTCAGTCTGGCAATAAGTTAACACACACCCAATCTATCTTATATTATTGAGACACTGATAGATGTACATTGTATACCTCAAATGTCTCCTTGGCTCACTTTTAGTAAAGCTAAATTACAAGAAAAATTACAGTATGAGAAAGAAGATGTCAGACCTGCTGACCTGAGAGCAGAAAAGACCATCTAAATGTCTGAAAGATGTTATGGTAAAGCACAGGGGCACTTGAACAAATCACTTCCACTGCCATCATTAACACAGACTCAAATCAATTCCAGAATGACCAAATCAGGTAGCAGGGGCAGGTGGCCCAAAGGAAACAGTCCAAAATTTATGAAGGCATCTCACATCTATTTTCCTCTAACTTTTGGTTTTTCACTGTGATGTCATGCAAAGGAACCATGTGGGTGGAGTGCAGGATGTCAAGCTTTGATGTGTACAGAAATTAATGTGTTAAACCTGGAGCTCAAGTTCATAGTTCCTTGAAATGGCGATGAATATTTTAAGGACCATTTCCATCATTCTCCAGACAAGCAGTTACAAGTTGTGGTTATTATGTGCTGCCATCCGGTGTCCGTTTGGTAGAATGTCATGCTATTAACTGTCAAGATTCGGCCCCCTCCCTTCTATTTTTTTCCACTTAACAGCTCACCATTTCTTTTAGAAATGTTCTGTCGAGTATTCCACTTGTATAAACTATCCTGTCAATTGCACATATTAAAATAGCTGCTGTGATATGAATTTGCCTCTACTTGTTTCATATCATAGTTATCACCTTTGTTTCCTATTGGATATGATTTGTCTGTAGAAAATGGAAAGATAGCTGCATTCTTTTGTCTGAGGAGCTTTCTCTACAGTAAATTTCTGGCAATAAGCCCTCATGGACTGCTACCTGGCAGTCTGTGTGGCGACCTGGTGCTATCTTGCTTATTCTGCCTCCAGACTTCCCTAGCTAGATGTTTTGCTTAGCCCATAAATCTATTCAACAGCTTGATTTTTTTCTCCTGTGTGAAACACTAGGATGAACTACTGCAACTCTTGTGAAATGTGGAGGCATTAGCTGACTCCTGTGAGGGGATGGGCTTACTTGCTGACCTGGAGATGGGATGGACGTCATGAATCAGGCAAAGAGGCAGCTTTGCTCCAAAGAGAAAGAGGTTCTGCAGATTCTTTGAGAATATGCTTTACTTCCTTCTAACTCCTGCCGTGGGCCTCTCTGCACAGACACATTCAGGACAACTAACAGAAGAGCCACACTACCCTACCATAGTAACACCTGAGCCTTCAAAATAAGCTTGGCCCTTTGGGACACTAAGACAGGCCTGAAGCTCTTTTTTTCAGACTCTGTGCCTTTAGAGAGTTGTACAGCCTCAATGAGTGTCAGTATTTTCCCTAGTGTATCAGTCCATGACCCACCTCTAAAGAGTTCCTCAAAGAATTTGTTTCTAGGCTTAGGGTCTCTCTTCTAGTCAGGGATAAAAATCCTTAAGATTTCTCATATTTTTCTTTTTCTAGTCATCTCTTGGAATTGTTTGGCATGCAGTATGTGCTTAATGGATACTTGTGATTGATTAAGTGCTCAAAGTGCACGGTGTATATAAATTAGTAGCATACTTTGTGCAGAGTGGCAGCTGCTTTTATTGACTTGTCGAAGAAGTCAGGAGGAAGCTCAGGTATCTAGTTAGGGACTGGTAAGACTGCTAATCCTTCTTAAAAGAACCAGGCAAAATAGTTAATAAGACAACCCAGATGGATGATTTGTTCTCACACCTTTCCACAGTTTGAATAATTTGAAGATCTCACCAAACTTTGCTGCTTTCTGACATTAAGGATATCTTTAATCAATTTATAATGGATAAAAATGCACCATAAACTAGTATATTTCAAGATCTGTTTTCAGAGAAACCAGATTTGGCTTTTAATGTACAATTTGTGATCATAAATTTGTCATTTAAACTCTCTGAGATTCATTTTCTATATTAGTAAATGGAGACATTAATAATGCCATCATTTTTGGTGTGAGAATGTAAACTTAGCTAGACAATAAAACTCATATTGGTTACTCAAAATAATTTATGTCACTGATAATTTTAAATAAATCATGGGAGAAATTGAAGTGAAAAGAGTATTTAAAAGTTTGTCAGTCACATTTTAGTATTTATTTTGAAATGAAATTATTTTCAAGCTACAGAATTCAGTTCTTGGAATAGTTTTCCTTCTCATTCTAAAACAACGAAGACAAGGTTTTCCATTTACAAAGCAAAGATGAAACCTCATTTCATGTAAGGTGTCACAACCATTCACACTACTAAGCTCCCCAGGCCTTCAGTTCTTACTCCCTCGGACTTGTGCTTCCAGTTACCTAACAGGGTAGAGGGAAAAGCAGTTCAAAGTCCTAAGACAGAACAGTGAGATAATTGGATTTCATGTGTGTTCAGTTCTAACCAGTTCCAGTTCCAAGTTTAAGGAACTGAAGAGTTTTGCCAGCAAATTCTATAAACGATCAACATCTAAAACAGTTTCAGATCAGAACCATTTCTCCAGGAATTTCTATAGATAGGAAGCAAATAAGGTATCCTAGCTCCCTGCCAGAAGATGGAAACTGTAGGGAGAAGCACAGCAAGCAGGTTAAATATGGATCTGCCGTGTAAGGTTGTTCTGCACTCTGACCACATATGGTCGAAAGAAGGACTCTGATACCACATGCCCAGTCTAGACAACATCCTCCTAATGCTTCTCCCTTCTCTTTTGGGGTTAACCTGATACTTTGACCCGCATAAAGAGATTACAACTGTTTCAGTTCACTGTAGGACTGCAGATATCTATAAAGAGAAATGGGCGCCAATCCAGAAGGAAAATATGTAAAAAGTTTTCTTCCTTTCTTTTTCCAACTTTTTATCATTTGACTGAAACACTGACTCTTTATTTAAGGACAAGTGTGTTGAAGAGCGAACTGTCTGTATAATGGAAAATCTGCATCGTGTTTCCTGTGTGTTTACCGTGTTCTTTTCTAATGCAGCAGTGTATCATTAAAAAAGCTTCAGGCATGTAAGAGCAATCTAATTCATTTTGTAAATATTAGCCTTATGAAGTCAAAACTGTCCTTATAATCAAGGTTCTGGATTCTAAATAAGAAGGGAAACAAATTATACAAAGATCTTGTGCACATGGATACACAAAGATATGTCTTTTTAATATATTTTCTATCGACCTGAGTGAAGGCGTTTCGTAAAGTTTTTCACCACTTTTTGTAAAGTCAATTAAGTTATTTTGAAATAAAGGTCAAACCAGAGCAAACTGCAGCAGTATAATTTAATAGTAGAAATTTGGGTATATCAGTCTTATTGATGGTTCCGGCACCTCTGAAAGAAAACCCTCTGTGACTCTGATACACACATATTTCAACTGCAGATGCAATAATGTGTCCAATTCAAGAATTTTGGAAACACTGAGAAATATAAAAGGAAGCCAAAAGCTACAATTTCACCACCTGAATTAACTGTTTATATATAAAGTTTTTTTTCCAAGCCAAAGTAGAGTTATTAATTCAATAAATATACATTTAGTACCTAGACTATCCAGGACTCTGTGCTTGGCTCTGAAGATGCCTCAGTACCTCAGTAATGTTGAATTGAGTTTGTATTGCCTGAGGGCATGTATTTCAATGAAGGTGATGAAAATTAATTTTTTTTTTTTTGGTCTTTTTGAAACAGGGTCTCCCTGTAGCCCCAGCTGGCCTGGAACTCACTATGTAGACCAGGCTGGTCTTGAACTCACAGAGATATGCCTACCTCTGCCTCCCAAGTGCTGGGACTACAGGCATGTGCCACCACGTCTGCCTTAAAAATAAAAATTTTAAAGTGGGTTTTAATTTACCATAAGTTATATGTCAAGAAGGTAATTCTGGGGAATTAGTATTTGGGCTCCTAAGGGATGGAATTAATAATCAGAAGGGGCTGAGATGTGTAAAGATGCTACTGGGTAAACCTCACAGCATGGTGTAAAGTATGTATTAAAGGCTGCCTTCAAATCTTCCCACATCAATATTCTTTTACAACATAGGGCTTGTCATGCCAATGCATGACTCTGTTATGAGCAACTGACCTAAGAAATCTCTGATTTTTTTATATTTTAGGTGCAGAATGAACAAACCTCATGCACTTTATTGTAAGGTACATAGCTGTAGCAACCTAGGATACATTTCTTCAGAATAAATTTATATTTGTGCGAGTATGTTTAGTCAAAAGATAGGTACCAAATTTTGAAAAATTTATGAAAAACATTGTTAAATCACATTCTGGAAGAGATGGTGTGTGACAGAGTGTAGTTCCTGTTGGCTCCTTTACCCTGAGTATTACCTCTTTGTTAATTCTTGGCAATTTCATGGGCAAATAAAGAAAAAGCTTGTCATCATTCCCAACTGTAATTTTTTGATTACTGGTGATTATCAAAAGAATTTTGATACAGCTGGGCATGGTGGTGCATGCCTTTAGTGCCAGCACTAAGGAGGCAGAGGCCGGCAGATCCCTGTGAGACCAAGGCCAGCCTAGTCTACTTAGTGAATTCCAGGCCAGCTTGGCTACAGGGAGACCCTGTCTCAAAAAGACCACAAAAAAAGTAGTTTAATTAAAGAGTGACAGATGAGCTGGTAGATTTTGCAGATTCTGAAATATACTATCAATGAAAAATAAGGAACATTGTCTAGAAGGTTCCCATGCTTAGTACTTTTTATTGGAAGAAGACTCATGGATACAGACAAAAGGACATTTGTTAGTTGAAAAGCATTTCTAGGGATTTACAAATTAAGAAACTTTTATTTACATGGCACGATTTTTAAATGATAGAGTATTTCTATTATTATCTGAATTTCTTACCACTTAACAAATTTAAATAAAAAGAAGACTTCTAAGAAGACTAGTTAAAAACAGTCTATGCTCACTGCAAATGTCGCCAGTTCGCCAGTTGATAAGTGATTTCTTCTACCGATGATGCATTTATTTATTTTTTCCCCTAAGGAAAAACTGGTCTACTTCCTGGATTGTTCTCTCTAGTCGAAAAATTGAATTCTACAAAGAAGCCAAGCAGCAAGTGACATCCAACATGGTAGGCTGTTCTCTTTCCACTGTCACCGTCTTAGAAAGAGTGTAAAGCTGGGAGTTGGGTTTCATCAGAAATCACATTGAAGTCTCTGAGCTTCCAACATCTGAAAGCAGATGGAGGCAATGACCCAACAACCTTTTAATCAGATGAAGGGAAAATAGAACATAGTGTCTGTTTTATTAAGTGCTGCATTTGGAGAATAATCACAAATGAGATGGATGGTGAGCAGCTCTCTAGTAATGGGAAGGTAACACTTTAAATTAAGATGCCATTTATAAGTGCCTTATTCTTATTTATGAAATAATCACTAAATGCTGCTACTTGCTCAAATAATGTATTATAAAGTATGTTATAAAATGCATTAGTAACAAATGCTTAACAGATGAGGCAATGAGAAGCTGCTTTAAAGAAAATTATAAGACGTAAATCGTATTAAAGCATGTATGTGCATCTTTAATACATGAATTTCAGTTGTTATCTTGCATGCTATAAAGTGCCTCACACATTAATAAATAATAATAAACAGTATATAAATGGCACCCTTAATATAGGGTGTTACCAATGAGAAAACACTCTATGTTAACGAAGTGATTTTTTTATCTTAGTCTAACTGTGACATTCACTATAGTCAGCTAACCTTTCTGAATATTTCTATGGCTACATCTAATGAACCTAATGCAATTTCTGTATCCTGTAGTTATTACAAAGTGAGATTTGTAGTTTCTTCATTATACCTGGAGGAAGGCCTCACATGCCTATAAGAATTTGGCAGATAGGCAAAGCAATTCAAAGCTATTTACCTGGACAACTCTACCTCAAAGCCTTTTTGCCCAAACACAGGAGCTCTCACAAGATGCTAGAGAGGGTGGGCAGACAGTATGTCTGACAGCCCCATGATTAGGAAGGTCTCCTCACGGGAACCAACCCGCCAAAGCCCATTGGCCTGATGGGCAACAGAGAAAGGGGTGGCCTGGCAGGAGGGAGCCACAATGAACTAATTTATATTTGGCAGGTGATAAAACAATGGTAAATTCTTTGCTCTCCAGTCACTGGTCATGTTTGCTATATAATCCTCTTTAAATAAAAAATAGAAAATCATTTTGCTTAGAGGTGTATTTTCAAGGAGAACATTTTAGTGAGAACAAAAGGTAATATTTGGCTTGCCCCTGATAATTACAATAGTCTTTGTCCAAAGTGGCTTAGTGATTTTGGAGTCCCAGTGAAGTCCAATCTATAAACTAATTGTGAATAAATTAAAGCTATCTCACTTTGTTGTATTTTAATCTGCCACAGAAATTTGTTTTACAGTTTTGTTTTTATTTTTTGGCCTCAGAAAGGTTGAGATAATAGTCAAAGAAACACAGAATACCCCCAGGGCCAGGCACAAAACAACTCCCACCCACTTGCAGAGCTTTTGTCTGCTCTTTGAATGTGTTCTACAGGGAAGGTAGGAAGCAGGAAGGAGCGCGCCAGCTCTGCAGGCCAAGATGCTGAGAAGATGATCCTCCTGCAGAGGGAGAATTCCACTGAAGCACAGTTAGATGGGAATGTGGGGATAACAGGACGGATTAGATTCCATAGTAAAGCATTTGGTTTACTTTTATTTTATTATTTTAATCTTCTTATACCAGGAGATATAATTCTCAGCTGTTTAATTATATACAGGTGAAAGAAAACTAGCTTTTCAATTGCCTGCAAACCTTGCAAGTTAGTGCTCTAATTGCATGCCTCTCATTCAGTCTTCAGAATTGTTACAAAGTGACAATGGATTTGACTTGTAGAAGAAATCCGTTAACATTTTTTTGGCAGTCCTTATTTATTACTTCTGGCCCTATTTTCAGTGCTCTTAGCTTCTCCCAGGCACTCATTGTCTTCAAAGTGAGTTCTGGGTAGGAGCTGTTTTGTGGTAATGGGGAAGGGAATTACAGATTTGTGTTTGTACTGCATGAATTGTCTTGCTACTCAACTTCTTGGATTCATTTCTAACCAAGTATTAAAGGCCTAGTGGGATAGCCGCATTTACCAACTCGAGCCTAGGAGAAACGATACAATGATTGCCAGGCCATGATTAAAGATGCTGTGGTTTTATTCTGAAAGATTGATGCTCAAGTTTCTGAATTTCCCTTCCACTCCCTTAGTTGCGCCCTGGTGTCTGCTTCTGAGGAAAAGACTTGCTTCCCAACGATGGGTCGGGGAAGCTGTTGGAGGGAGTGCAGAATGTGGTCTAAAGACTAAATTGTACTCTAATCTTTACAGAGCGATCTCTGAATGTTAATGCAGTAGTGAGACAAAGCTGTGTGCAAAGTAGCTCAAAGAACTCTTTGAAGTCAGACCCAGGAGACAGAGCTCTATTTTTGTCGCTTAGTAGCTGACAAAGTTACTTGGTTTCTTTGAGCTTGGACTCCTCACCTGTAAGAAGAATGCTGTAATATTTGCTAAGAAATTCCTAAGGAATGAAAGTAGCTAAGCAAAACAAAAAAATCACTATAGCTATAAGCAATTACTGATGACCTGTTATAGTATTCCCTAATAAAATATGTAAATAATTTATATAGTGCACAATATAGAATATAATTAAGACATTGTGCTATATTTCATGCTTGAGTTGATTCACACATCTATAGGATAGAGAATGTTTCAATGCAAGGAAACACTTATTCAAGGCTTTCAAAAAGAAAACGATATATCCAAGAGCAGCACAAATATTGTGTCTGTGACCTGAGACAAATGAAGTAGCTGTCCATTTGGGACTCCGGATGAAACCTCCTCTGCCCCGGCTGTTTCCTAGACCCACAAGTCCATGGACTCTCACTATTGCTCTTTGATACAGCATGTCATACACTGTTGTGAGTGATCCCACATTTCACCTTTGTTATCTTTTTTCCTTACTGAGGTTTTTTCAGTTCCTCTCTGTCTTCCACTTAGGGCGATTATAACCAAATACAACTGACTGTGTGAACCTCCAAGATCCAGGCACTGGTAGATCTGGTGTTGGGTGATAATGGACTTCCCTATGTTTATTCTCCATCTTCCTGTTAGGCCCTCATACAGCAGAGAGCACTAATCTCATGGTGACCGCTCAGCCCTCCAGAGCAGATCCCTATCCCAAAGCCTCACCATCCAGCACTATCACAGGTTTAGGATTCAACATACTGACACATTTCTTCCATAGCAGTAACCAAATTATAATTTTATCCTGAAAATAGTCACAGAATCACTTCAGTGGTCTGTGCAGATTAATGATTCCGTGGCTCTGGGTCCTCAGTCACCTATTAAAGTTGAGGGCCTATATGTTTTTCCATTTCAGTTTTTTTAATAAAAATATTAAATAGAAACCAATTACCTAGTGTCACCACTTCATAACAGAAAGGATACCACAATCCAAAAACCTAGGTAGGAAAGACCAAAAAAAGAAAAGACCATCACTGCAGAGAAAGAAGCATATTCACTGTCTGTCTACACACTGGTTTTTGTTTTGCTCACTTCCCTTCAGATCAGAGGAAGCTTGGTCTACATTGCCTGGTGCTCTTATTATGGTCATGAATGTAATCTAGAATTTTTCATAGCTTTAAATGTAGCACATTTTATATTCTCTCATTTTTATTCTAAGGCTCGGCTAAACCTATGCTACATTTTCTTACTATATCCTCCAAATGTCTTAACAGTCTTCTCTTTTTTCTATATTTGTGTCTTTCTGAGCTGAGTTGCAAGTCATTTTTCTTTATGTATCTTTATGTACTTTATTTCAGTCCCTCATGTGATAAACATTGTTTCCAATTTCAATTACTGTCGTTCTCATTTCTACACGTTTATTTCTTTTAATTTATTCTGTCACCTGGGTAGTTACTTGTTTCCTGCAGGTATTTTCAAGACTACATTTTATTTTCATAAAATTAACAGGAAGAGTTGTTTCATGATATGAGTCTTGTGATTCTAACATCTGAAGTCCAGGTCAACTTGTTTCTGCTATTTTGTTTCCTGCTTAGTGCATTGCTTATCTTTGACTGTGTGCTAATCATTGAGATTGAAGTATGGTCACGGGAGGATCCCTGTTGCCTGGGATAAATGTGTCCTACTTATTGAAGTAGTTTGCATTTTGTCAAGGGGCTTGAGACGATGATTGGTAACCTTAGAGGCTGCTTTAAGAGTCTCAGGTTGTATCTTTATAATGGCTGCTCTACAACCAGGGGACAGCTTCTCAGAGACAAGGTTGTTTTCTATTCTTCTTTTTTGTGCATCATTTATATTTCTCACCTATGCAAGCTCTGTGTTTTTGTTTTCCTTTGGAACTAGAGAATGAGAACGAGTTCAGCATCAGTTTTTCCATACGACTTTTGTCAGCCCTTGGGCAGGACCTTGTTTTAGTACACTGTGAGGATGAACAAAGCTCAAGTACGTAGTATAAATAAATGACCTCAGAAAAACGTGAAGTCATGTTGCTTTGATACTCAGTTTCCTTTTTAAGCTTTACATTCCTATCAAAACACACACACACACACACACACACACACACACACACACAGGAACTTTTACCACAGCAGCCCACACTATCATTTCAGACTTTCAATTCTGAAGTAATTTTTAAAAGAAAATTTTTATCCGGTATTTTTTCATTATTTTCAGTGGGAGCGTTGATCCAACTAACATCTCTTCTCATTACAAGCTACTTCATTTTAATTTGAGTATGCATTTGGTTAATCAGGTTTGTGCTATTTATATAAGCCTTGGTGGGAAAAGATTTCATAAGAATATGTATTGAAATCCCACAATGAACAGCTTGCTCGTTAGGGCTACATGTAAGGCATCGAGATATAATCAAGATATAGTCTTTGCCTTATCAAGTTTGTGCCAATAAGAATGAGATGAAGTAAGAAACAAAATAGAGTTTTGTTTTTGTTTTTGTTTCTTTCAATTTTTTTCTTTTAGGATTTAAAGGAGATGAGAGATTACATCTGTGAAGGCTTTGAATTGGGCCTTGAAGGATGCTTATAATTTCTGTATGT